TTGCACTGAAATTGATGGCGAGCACCCAGGGAACGTGGTGTAAGAAAAGAGAACAGAAAACGAAACTTCACCTGTGAAACGTCAGTATCTCTCTGTCCTTATATTTACAGACTAGAAAATTAATGTCCTGGTGACACTGTATTATGAGGTTTCATGCCTTTATGCAAATCTTAAGCTATTCTGGGACTCAAAAAAAACTTGGATATGGCAGACACAACCTGATCTGAAAGTCAGAGCACTGGGGAAAGCTCCTAGAGATTTCAGTAAACTCAAGACTACTTCTATTTCCCTCAGTTTCTCCACTTCAAAAATAAAATAAAAACAAACAAACAAAAAAAGGTCAGTACATCTAAAACTCTGAAGTGTCTCAGAGTCAGCACAGGAATAGAACCATCAACTTTTGATTTCTTTTGGTTTTAGATATGACATAGGATTGGGCAGAGAAGAGAGGAAGGAATGGAATGATAATTCTGTAATAATAATTTTGGATATAAGTTTGGATAATTTTGGAATGATTTTGATTTCAAACTGACAGTTGATTTGCAACAAGCTCAAGCAGCTGCACGCACATAAGAAAAATTCATTAGGAAAACCCCACTGCCCCAGAAAAGAATGTTACAGGATACAAATAAAATCTTAATACAAGCTCGTCCTTTCTGGGTGCAGGCTGAAGACTTATTGAAGATGAGTTAGTCAAAAACCCACAGCAAAACAAAATACCCACACCATCTTTTAAGCAGTGTCAGAAGCTTCTTGACTTAGGAGAGTTAAGGTCAAATTTGCACTTTCTGTCTTTGTAAATCTACTACTACTGAACTACTTTCTAAGTCCACAACACATTCACAGTCATCTCAAAACTACTCAAGGTGGAAGAACCCTCCTAACATAAGAGGAACAAAAATCAGAACAAGGTGAAAAGCCCCGACTTTAGGACAGCAGTTCTGGGAACTCATGCACAGCTCACGTATTGCACAAAGCTGGAGTTGTTTGCTGGCAATAGTATTACCGAGGACACCAACATACGACCATGCTACTCTTCAGCAAAGGGACAGATCCTGCCTGACACCGAGCACCTCAAACCGCTGTCCTCCCCCTCAACTGCTGTGTAAATCGAGAGGCAAAGCATTCAGCCCTTCCCAGGCTTGGCCTCAGCCACTTCCTCTTTAAGAACAGATTCTGAAAAGACTACTTTGAAAATAAACCTTTAGAAAACCAGAGGATTTTTTTTTTTTTTTTATTGCAAGAAGTCTGCAAAGGCACCACTGGGTACCACATTATCCCATAAAGATGTCAGCTTTTTAGTGATCGCAGCTCTAAAGAGAAGGAACAAACAATAGAGCGCTTCCTTATATGTACACCGGCTCGGCGCTGGTGACAGAGACCATTTCCCCAAATGGTCAAAAAATTGAAGCAGCTCCACTGTGGTTTTTGAAAGAGAACTGCTTTAAAGCACACATCCCACTGCAATCCAAACGAAGCAAAAGCTTACAGCGATACCTACAAGGCTTCCCGGTATCAGCATCAGCATGTTGTACCATTTACTTAGTTTATAAGGATATTTTCACAGTACAGCTTTCTGCAAGGCAGTAAGCGTCTTACCCGAGTCTGCTAAACTGAACTGACAAAACCTTTGTGCCAAACTGCACTTTGTGTTGATGCTTAAACATCTCTCTGCAAGTGTTGGCTGCTGGTAATTTAGAGGGTCAGTGCAAGCACAGGAAGGGAGCTCAGGGGCCCTAATCCACTCTCCTTTGATTCCCGCACAAAGACCGAGACCATTGCAGAGACTGAACACAGCCTTTCGCTCCATGTTCCTACCACCAAAAAAGGAGATGGGAGGAAACAAAGCTGAACGCCCCGCTCTCTCCGAGATCAGCTACCAGACTGGCCGGCTGCAAAGATGGCTGAGCCCATACTGGTCACAGAAGTGGCACAGAAGGCGTGTGCCCACTGTGTGTCGAACCTGGGCTGGTCCTACAGGAGGAGTTTGGACCTAGGTGCAAGACACCCATTCTGCACATCCAGCCATGCCTCTAAGCACACACCTGAGGCCCTCTGTGAAACAGTCTTGGAAATATAAGGAGGAAAGTAACTCAAAGCTTTGAGTTCAAAAGAAATTTGATTCAAATTTAATCAAAATTAATTTTAATTCAAAAGAATTTTTTTTTAATTTGACCTTTAATTCAAAAGAAAGTAATTTAATTTGCTTCTCTGCCACTATTCTGCTTACTTAATCCTAGCAGACTGTAACACCAAGAGTTATCCCTTTGGCAAGGCCATGTTAAATGCTGACAGCTGGCAGCTCTGTCACCGAAATTTCCTGCTGGAGTTGTCAAAGGCTACAACGACTGAAAGAGATGCGGCATTTCAGTGCCTCATACAGCTTAGCATTAGGTGCATTAGGGAATTGCAGCTATATATTCTTTTGATTGCATGTGTCATCGTGATCACTGCAGAATTTTAATTCCATTATTCTATAATGCATGATGCAAAAAATAGCTCTAGTGTCTGCCCATATTTGCAGGTACAAGCTAAAGTAGCCGAGGTGTCAATCTCAAGCCGAAGAAATGAGGGCAACTGATCCCATTGCTTGAAGAGCACCTTGTTCCGCCAAAGTGAAAAGTGTTGGCTCTGAACACAGCCAAATTGTCTGCTTTCCTGGCCAGACAGATTTTTGGGAGCAAGAGTGCAGCAGCCAAGCCATAAGGGTCAAGAGAAATCAGAACCGCTGCAATAGAAGAGGAGGTAAAAGACACCATATTGCTTCAGTTGAAGCTGAGCAGTTTCTGCATCTCCCTGGAGTGAGTCGGCGAGAGCTGCCCCAACAGCAGTGCTTGGTTAAACAATATCCCATTTTGCACTGGGGAGTTATGCAAGAGCGGTCCCAGTCACACGGGCAGAGGGAAGCAAAGAAAGGGCATTATTCACAGCCTGACATGGATGAACCCAGCTTAACACATGCACTTGGAAAACACTGTTCTCTCTGTTCAGTAATATTATTTCACATTCCACTCGTTTTGATAACCTCTTCCTTCTCCATCTACCCCACTGACTGACTGGAAAGTTGACTACTGCCTTCTCCTGAGATTAGCCGACACACATAACTGCAACAGGTTATTTTTTTTTCTTTCAAGGTACCACCGAGCCTCAGTTTGCAATAAATAATTTACAAATACATACAATAAAAAGCTAGAGAAATTTAGAAGGGAAGCCTCTCTGCTTCACTTTACAGGGAAAGA